CCGAGCAGCGTCGCTGTACTTCCACATGCGCTCGAGTACTCAGCTCGCGCTATTTTCGCGGGTGGCTGAGGTACCTCAGGGTCGCGCACATGTCACTATTAAAGCCGCAGCCATAGTTCGCCATAGTCTGCCATCGGCCAGCATCAACCACTTCTGCCAAAGAAGAAGACGGCTTCGAAGACGATATCAAGCACAAAGGATGCTGTTTGACTAGCTATCAGATCTACGTGTGCATCCTACTATCTACTGCAGGGTATAACTGCTGGCTTCTTGTTCCACGGGACGGGCTATCACAACCTGTGCCACCCCTTAACGGCGCTATTGATACACAGCTTCTCTCGCCTGCATTTGCGAATAGGAGCCCAGCCCTGGGATAACCCAGTGTTATATACATAGTATGCAGGGTGTATATACGTCTGACGCTAACGTCCCCACGCTATCTCTTTTTTCTGCGGCCCAACTGTTCGTTCTTTGACGGTCTCGCTCTGTCTATTTTTATCAATGCAGTCTAGAGTATTACACATCACAGCGCTTCACAGATATATTATTACTCTAGAGAGTATAGCGGAACGAAGGTGCCTTGTCACCCAGCTCGCTCAGCTCCCGGTCGGTGAGACCTTGGTTTCCTTCCCGCTCTCGTTTGGCGTTGACTCGCTTGTACGCCTCGCGCATGAAGACGGCCGATATCACTCCGGCAACCAGAAACCCGAGCTCGAGCGCATGCCCAAGAGTGTATTTCGGTGCATCTGGTGCTCGATAAAAGTTTGATGCCATTGCTTAAAAAAATGTCGTGTTAGATTACTGTTCTAAGGTATGGAAAGAGGGTATAACATATACCAAGCCAACCTACCTCCTGACATGTTGCCAACTCCAATTTGAAATGCCATGCCTGCAGAACGCTTGTAGCTGCCTGCCAGATTGTTGGCCAGCCATGTTACAGCACCGGGGAAGGCAGGATATATCCCTAGACTGCCGTGTCAGTCGTATCTGTGGCCCAGCTCTGCTTGTCTTTTGAAGGCTTACCACAGATGGCGATGAAAACGCCAGCGTAAACAACTCCAGGCACACCTCTTCCTGCTGCAGATATACAGATGATAAACCCAATACCAATCAATGACATGCAGCCGATTACAAAGGGTGAACGCTTGCCGGTTCGATCCGAGTAAAAGGCGACTATGACTGCAAGCGTTGCGGCAGTCACATAGATGGGAACCGTCAGGAGCTGCGCCGTAGAGGTCTTGTACCCCAGATCCTTGATGATACTCGGCAAGAACAGAGAGGTGCCATAGAGCGGACAGATGATGCCCACGCAAACTGTCAATCTATGTTAACATTGGAAGAGAATATATATAAGATAGTAAGCTTACCAAAGAGCGACGCATAGACTTGCCAGTCCGTGAATACCTCCTTAATATACTTCCATTTGAAATCCTCAGTCTGGGGTATTTTCTTCCCAGACGTGCCGGATCCTTGAAACTTGAGACGATGAATGATAAATTCTCGTTCCCTAGAGGTCAAGAAAGATGCGGTTTCGGGGAAATCTTCAATGAAAAAGTAAGCGCCAACGGCGACACAAACGGTAAGGAGGCCCTCCAGGATAAAAATCCATCGCCATCCCTGATATCCTCCCACCCCATCCATTTTCTAGTTTGTGTCAGCCAGATGAATGTTGTATAATCTAGCTGTAAAATCAGCCTACCGCAATAGCAAATGCTAGCAGCCCAGAAAAAGCACCGGCTATACTAGCAGCACTGAAGAACATTGCCTGCCTTAGCTGGACCTCGTGTCGGCAGTACCACATAGTAATATAGTATGCAACTCCAGGGTACAGCCCGGCTTCTATTTCAGACAGTCAGTCTCACTTTTGTCTCCAAAGTATGGTTCGACCCCCGGCATTGCTTACCAGCAACTCCCAAAAATATCCGGGCAATCAACAGTCCCTTGTAATCCTGTACAATCCCCATCAAGGTCTAAAGCAGTGTTAGCATATACCAACTTATGCATCTTGGGGTTTCACTGCCCTACCACAATAGTTCCCCACGCAAGCATGATCGATGGTAGATCTCAACCTGGCGTTAGCTTGCTTATCCCTCCATATGTTCAAGGCATAGCAAGGGCATCCCAGACGTACAGAGCGAAGGGCGCAGTCTTTTCAACAGAATGTTGGAAGGGACCTCAAAGGTGGAATATGTAAAAAAGAACACGGTCACTTGATAGTTACCCCCTGTTAGTATCCATTCGGCTGCTTTTGAGGTTTGGAGGACACAACTTACAACACCAGTTAAACTGGCCGCCTTTAAGACCCAAATCAACATCTAAACCCTCAATCTTCGCATTTCCAATGTTCCCTCTATCCAAGAACGATAGTAGGTAGAGGATTGCAAGCGCAGGGATAAGTCGAATGTCCATCTTCCTGATTACCTTCTTCTCGTCTATATCTGAGAAATCTGCCTCCGCGCTGGAGGTAGACCCAGACTCACTCCCGCGCTTCTCTTGAACAGCGTGCTCATTGTTCCGCTCGACATCTTGCACTTCCACCTCAAGCTTCTCCTTCTCAGCCACTCCTTCAAAGCCTGGCTGTGGCCCCATTTTTCCACCGTTGCATATAGCCGAAGAGGAGACAAGAAGGAATGCAACGGAATAGGAGAAGGATGATCAAAAGGGTAGGAAAGCTTGGGCATATATACCTCGTGCAACTCATCCGCATTCCTCGGGCACAGGGATATCGGCTTACCATGCAGCTCTTGGCCCTGGTGAAGGAGAGAGAAGCGATCACCACATAGAGTTAGTGATGTTCCCTGGATTCTCCTTTTGCCTGTCAAATCCATGCATCAAGCTGCATATTATTGCGTCGATTGGCCCATGACCTTCAACCAGGGCCATTTCGAGTATCATAAGCTCCGAAGAAGCCAAACGGCCAATTGCAGCGATAATGATCGACTAGTCCCCTCCACGCTTCTGGGGGTGAGATGCACGGTTTATTCCGAGGATCTGAGAAACCTCCATCTTCCTGTCATGGTTAGACGAACTAAACATGGCCGATCAAGACGATTTTCCAAGTGTCAGCCGCCATTGTGCTAGCCGTGTCAGGGATACGGTGTTGCTACGGTGGCACATTTAGGAGAAGTGTACATAGTAAGCCAAAATTGTCTTTCGGCAGGCCCTTTGATCTCAGGGGTTAGTTATTATCCCCTAGCCTAATCCCTGCAAATGGACGCAGGGAGATGGCCTTGAGCAATAATGGGATTCAACTCTAACATAGTACTCTGGTCCGCATCTCCAACGTAAATAGTCTCGTTTTCATTTTCTTTTAGTCAAGTATTGCAATAGAATCAGTCATGATGCGAATAGGAAGCGAGCATCTTTTCCGGAGCGAGTAAGAACTGACTATTAATCCGACCAGCAGAAAAGAACAATTCTTCTGTGCGACTGTCTTCTAGAAATGCCGGCTTGCAATCGGCTTGCGTTAGGGGTGTACAGAATAACAGGGAGCCACCACAGATTAAATTTGAGATCGGACACATGATTGGAACATTCTCTGGGCATGATGCGAGAGCTTAAATGCTCAGAGCGCCCTTCCCTGGCTTATTTAGTCTCAAAAACGAGACCAATCAATAATGTTGTTATGATGAGAACCCTGGACAATGATGACAACACCTTGGATACCATCGATAATAAAGAATTTGTCCAAAATAGGGCTCCATACATATTTGTCGCTCAACATAATTAGTTACTGGGTACTCCGTATATATCCCTTTCCTGACGCTTGCTATATGGAGGCCTGCTCGATGAGAACAGAAAACCTTCGAGCTCTCCCCCAGGCATTTCTCTATCTTCCCACGGAATGAAGGGCGCATACAGATAAGGCTTGAATTAGATGCTGTCTTCTTGGCGCTGGTTTTGAACTAAAGTGTTCGGGGCCTCGAACATTCATGTATAGGTACACAGTAGGTCCGAACGTGGTTTAATGGCGAAAACAACCGCTGATCGTCGTATATAAAGGTGCATACACACCCCAGGCGCAGGCACATTCGATACCCCATTTCACCCACAGTTTAAATAATATCCACGGCCATTCAAGTACGCTTATTTCTGGGACTAAGAGGAATAAGCACCAGTTATTTCGCTAAAATTCAGTCGGTAGGCTTCGTCAAAGTGAGCGAATGAACTCAGGCCTTTCAAGTTATCGCTCTGAACTTTGCATCCGCGCGAAGGTCACAGGGAGCGGGTTAATGAAGTCCATAGCATTATCCTGCGGATTTTGACGTGGTGCCTGGCATGTGGCTGACGGCTGGCGAATCCCTCATTTCTCCCGCACCCTGAATGGAAATACCCTGATGTCAATCAAGGATAACATAACCTCTCGCTGTTTGAGTATTCTCAAGCTCCTTCTGCCAAGCTTCCTTCACACCAGTTCATGCTTCGTCATAAAGCGAGGCATACGTCTCTTTGAACGTCTCGTTGGACCAAGAACTACCGACATGATCATCAGGGCAAATCCTGCTAGAAAAAACATCCACAGGTAGTGATAGAGCCATGAAAGGACAGCCACGTCATTCCCATGCCATGTTGATCCTGGGAAATGCGAAAAGAAAGTGTATTCCGTTGTGTCGTATAATCGCGATGGTAATATGGCAAGACCGTGCGGTCCTTTGAAGGTTGCAAAATCGTCCTTTCCGTCTGTTTTCAATATATGGAACCACGATGCGATAATACCACTCAAGAACATCGGGCCAGTGGTAAAGAATACCGTTATATACTTACTGATATACCACTGGTTGTGATCATGAAGGCTTAATGCAGCCTTTATCATCAGCGGATGGCCAGGTGAGCTTGCCATCAAGTCGTTGCTCACACCATAGGGCCATGTTCGCGGTACCCACGCTGGGAAGTCTAGCAATGGACGAATATCGCGGCGACACCCAATGTCCATATCCATGTATATCCCCCCATAGTGCCAGAGGAGGAAATATCGAAGAGCGTCCACCCGCTGAATGTTGTATCTATACCCATCATATGTCGCCAAAAACCATTTGAAATTTGTTTCAATAAAGTCGCGCGCTTTCTGGTCTGTCCAGAAGTAGTGCTTATATTCTGGGAGCAGAACCTGGCAAGAGTTAAAGGCGGTTTGCCAGATTTCTGGGAACTCGGGGGAGCTGTAGGTTCGATGGATGATACGTGGTATGGGCGTGGCTAAATCATCTTTCAGGATGGTGACATTATAAGTCGGCTGATTTTTGCTGATAGCGTCCTCGAGCGCCTTCACGTAGCCCTGAGGGAGGTTATCCAACGACAGAGAGTTTTTATTTAGGGCGGAATTTAGAAAGTTGTAGGAGTATATCGATGATGCGAAAATATACAGGAAAAGTAAAGCAGCCAACACTAGGATAGGGGCATTCCAAATGAAGTTGAATAGGTATAAAGAGATGTTACGAAGCTGCCTCCTCTTGCCAAAAAGGTAGCTAACAAGAGACATCGTAACGAAGATGCTTAAATTGGCGAACTGTCTTTGAAAGCACGGAAGGGAGAGTGCTCCCAGTGCCGTATATATAATCTCCATGGGAAAATTGGGTAATGCCGCTTAGTATTCTCCACTAAGCAGACAAAAAAAATTAGGAGCCTAGAGGAAGATTTCGGCTCTCCTTGGTTCCTCATTCGGCAAATTCCAAGGTCCCAAACTCTCTGCTTAGGTTGTTTTAGTTGTTTGAGAAATTTGGCGCGCTGCTTGGAGCAAGACTCCTGGATCACATGGAGAAATACTCCATATATGGGTACATAAATCCCACCTTGCTCAGTAAAAGGTTCTTACTGGCCTAGTAGTAAATTAAGATGTCAGACGGATGCTTAAGCGGACATTGTGGCGCGACTGTGTGCTGAAGCCTCCGGATATGGCCTAGCTAACGTTAATTGCGACTTGTCTGGAGATAAGTTAACTATGGGGATGCGTTGCGAGCAACCCAGCGGATGTCATGAATTGAGACAGGGTAATAAAGGCCACCCCAACCCAATAATGCTCCCAGTAATTAAACAGCGCTCGCATTATATGCGGGCCTGCTACTATGTATGCACTCTTTTCCCCCTGAGCGATGGGGGAATGTTCAATGAATGGTTGCGAATAAAAAGCTAGTTGACAATGACAGCAAAGTTTATTTGAACTTCGTATGCATATTCTTACGCAAGGGATTAGTTAGTCTTGCTATAGATGAAAAGAGCGAATGGACAACCAACCTGCATGGGTTCCCAAAATGCTTTACGTTATCGCATTCGATGCGAGTAAGAAACGAGGCTCTCTCAAAGAGACCACGCAACGTTAGCCGTTAGCTAGTTAGCATTCTGTTAAAAAGGAGGATGTCACTTGTTCAAGGGAAAAAGAGGACTTACTGATCCTTTGGCTGGCGCGGTTTGTTCTGCGCCTCTCGTATTCGCGTCAGCTTCACCTGATTATTTAGGCAGCTTTACTCGGCTACTCTCAAGCCCAAAACACTTATTTTTCCCTATCCTTCCGTTAATGGCGTTCATTTAGAGAGTCAAAGGAGTAGGAATCAAGTAGGCAGTGCCAGTGGCTGGTGGGAACATACGTGGTATAAGGAGGATAACTCCAGTACTGTAGGACAGCGTTTGCTTTTTGAGTATGTTCCGTGTTTCTGCGCTAAAGCATCAAACATCGAAATCCTCTCCGCAGCTCCAGAACACACTTAAGACTCTATTTTTAGAAGAGTACGGAGTGTGTGTTGCGTAATCGCATAGAAATAAACGCTTCATTCAAGTCGCTTGGCGGAGTATGCAAGTCAATGTCATTGGCAACATTCAGGGGTGATGCCAGGCTTTCGCTACTGGCGCTGCGATAAGCTGAAATTGTGACAAGGTTTAGCAAAATTGTATTATGTAGTCATGCGATTTCAGCTGACCTGTGTAGTTGTTGAATACATAAACATGTCTAACTTGCAATGGGTAATAATGCGCGCTTCGTGACAAAGCCCAAATTGGGGAAAGAAACCTATACCTAGAAAAAAAGAAATGCAAATGATAAAGAGGTACCAAATGGTAATGGAGCAGTTGGATGCCCAGACTTTGAAAGGAAATAAACAGGAAGCCAAAAGATAGAAAGAAAAGAGTCGTATATCCAAAGGCAGTTTTATTGAGGCCAACGATACAACAGCATATCAGGCAAAAATCACCAAGCGGTTATGTCATCCACCTCTGCTTCACCAAACGTGCTGCTCTTCGTAAGCTTACCAACATGATCACCATCAGCATTAGCGGCGGTCTCCGAGGAAGCCATGATCTCGGGCAGGACTTCTCTGAAAAATTCTAGAATATGTCTGTTCACCTGCTCAAATTGTAGCAGGAAAGCATCGTGGCCTTCTGGGCTATCAATGGTTTTCAACCGTGCATCCGGAATTCCATCTGCGATTTCCTGTTGTTCAGCAAAAGTGAATAAGCCGTCACTTTCAATTCCAAGGATGAGTGCTGGTTGCTCAATCTGGGATAGTGCGTCCTTTACGGGTGTCAGGGATTCCGGATCCGCGCGGTGCCTTGAAACATCATGTGTATCCAGTTTACGGGTAATCGCGATATAACAGTTGCTGTCAAAGCGCTTAACAAACTTCTCTCCCTGATATCGCAGATAGGATTGGGCGGAGAAATAGGTCGTCGGCCGCCTGGATACATCTAGAGATGCAAGAGACCCTGGAGATGCAGGTATAGGCGCGTGTGCAGTGTATATGGTTGCTCCCGTGAACTGAGGGTCAGTGAACTGAAGTTCTGTCTGTGGTTTGGGCGTATGAGTTCCACTTGACGGCCGAGATGGACGCGTGCTCTTATGGCCATCGTTATGGACAGCCCAGTGCTCATTAGGCGGTGTTGGCAGACGCTGGGTCCCATTAATATTTTGTCTTTTTGACGGATCAGGCACATTCCGGCCAAACCTGGCTTCAAACGAATTTCGGCTACGATAAGTCAGAAGTGCTGACATACGAGCAGCACCGAGCCCAGTGGCAGGTGGGTCATCAAACGGATAATAGCCGTCTTCGTATTTCGGGTCACTGTAGATGCTCTGTCTCTGTGCCTCACCCCAACTTATACCCCACGCTGAGTGTCGACTTGATGTTGCGATTGGCACGATACAACGGACATAGTTTTTACCAAAGTAGGCATATTCCAACGTTAACATCCCGCCCATAGAGCCACCAACCACAGCAGCTATCTGTCGGACTCCTAGGTCATCCAAAATAATCTTGTGAAGGCTATACCGGCCAAAGAGTCAGCAAAGCTTTTCTTTTAAGAGAATATTATTTATGAGGCTTTCTTACTTGACATCATCTCTTATAGTTGTTAGTGGGAACTCCGGTCCATATATGCCCCTCTTCGAGTCACCATCTTTGTAAGTGACGGCGCTAGCGGTGCCATATGGACTACCCAAGCTGTTCAAACAAATGATGAAGAATCTAGTAACGTCAAAAGCCTGTCCAGGGCCACCGAGCAGTGGTCCCCACCAATCACCAACATCAGCACTACCACTCAATGCATGGCAAACCACCAGAGCGTTATCCCCTGATGGAGAAAGTTTGCCTTTGGTTGTGTATGCTACAGGAACATTATATAGCGTAACACCGGATTCGAGGGTAAAGGAAGGGACAATCGCAATTGATTGGTCGGTTATCAACTTTGAGAACGGATTCTCAGGCTGGCATGCGACTCTCTCTACGGGATTTAGTAGCTGTTCATACATATTAAAAAGGGGAGTTCACTGACGGAGTTTTGGTTGGTGGGGAGCTTGTTCCCCGCAGTCAGCCATCCTGCAGGTGCAATTCGAATCAACGAACTAGCAAAGTCCAATTAATAGCACAAGACTAATGGCCCTCCCGAACAATAAATGCACGGTTCTGGCCAAATGAGCAAAAAGAGGACGGTGAGATGGGTCGTTGTCGTTGTCGTTGTCGTTGTCGTGAGATATTTTCGGTGTTATCGCTCCAGCTGACGCCACCGCCCACCAATCGGGCAATGGCAGAATAATCGGAAGCCTCGGTCGTCGGAGTTTTATTTTTCCCTTCGTTTCGGGTATTGCGGACACCCGTGTATTACATAATATGATCTTGGATTATATCATCCACCGCGGTCAGACTCACACGTTTTACCCATTGGACATTACATAGTAGGCCGTTTTGTCCCTGTGGACTAGCGGTCAGTGTCCGATACATGATTGTCTCTCTGCTCTTTGAGCGGCAAACATTTGAAATATTATGTGGAGTTGAGGGTTGACGATGGCACTTGGTTATCTACTTATTACCGCCTCTTCTTTTCGGGACGCCGCATGTGTAAGCCGCTTGCCACAGAGACGCCATGTGTATTCAAATACGGCACTCATGTGCATCAAAGAACTTACTTAGTTGGTCTAGGATGATCCCTCGCCCTACATACATGTTTCATGTCATGCATGAAACCTAAGCCTTTACTCCTTCCTCTGATAACGATCTGGTCGGAATAGAGGAAATGGTTAGGGTTGGCTTGGGCGTGTTACACCCTACTGCATAACAAAGACCGTTGATATCGGAGTACTCATGCCACTACCCAGGGTTTCTTTTTTTGCGGGACTCTGCTGTTCTTCCACTTATTCGTTTGCTGGAAGGGTTGCTTACTGCATGTACATTCCCACGTTCAGGCTAACCTTATACCCTTTTAGAACTAACTTCTGACTGCTGTTTTTGCATCTGTTCTGCCCTTGCCATATATTGATAAGCATACTATCAATATGGGCTCTCTGAAAATTTGGTCCTTGAAATCTGGCTTCAAGAACCAAATCCGACATAACATTCTTTATCATTTACTGTGACAGCCCCTCAGTGTTGTATACTCCATAAAATGCATTTTCATATGCGCAATACAGAGACTAGCCCCATATCATACCGAATCCGGAGGTGTGCCCTCATTCCAAAAGGAATCAACCTGACACTCGAGGAGGAAATGATGGTTATTAAACGCATTGGATATCGCCCTATTCCGCCTCCTGGAGCCATGACGTCAAACTGGTTTACGAGACACGCTGAAGTAAACATATCCAAGGCCAAGGCATGCGGAGCAGGCAAACAAGAGGTTGCTATGGTTGGAATACCTGCTGGGCGATATAGAGCTGGCTCCGAATGTTCGGAAACTCTAGCCAACCAACGTATGGTATGCTATAAGCCTTTGCCAGCAGAGAGCTAATGGAGGGTTAACGAAAAGCTAAGCCTCTTCATTAGGTTAATGTCAGGCTTCAAGTCAAGGGTGCTTTCCCACAAAACGATACATTTACCAGTTCTATTCCGAGCCGCATTCAAAGGGACTTGTGGAATGTTGATATCCCTCACATGAGTGAAATAAAGCCGCTGGATACGCTGAGCCCTACCGCTAGTTTGTCACCATTTCCACACAAATATACCCTGAAGGAAGCACATTTTCTTTAAGCCTCACCATGAGAGTAGTCTTAGAGGATTACTTCTTGTTTCTGAACCATGGCAAACAAAGGGTTGTTCTGTTGTAGCCTTAGCTTGGATACTCCTTTCAGTGTATAGACATGTTAATGGTAGTTATCCAGAAAAATGGGGTCCACTATTCTCAACTTGCAGTATAGGCGCTCCATGACAGTTAGGTTGCTAGCATACCACTCGTGGATTGCATGTATCTGGTTTTACCCACGGAGCAGTTTATAATCAAACGTACGAAAGTGGCCCTAGTGCTCTATTTTTTGTTTCTTGTGCTTCCTATGTATCGAGTCTCTTACGGCAGATCTACCCCCAAGTTTATGGCCACAGTACGGAGAATTTATTGCCAAGGTTAACTAACTTGTTACCCAAGATATCGGCCCACTAACCTTAATTTAACAGTGTTTATTGCCTCAATGTTAAAGTGGACCATTAGAGGATTTACTCTATCTACATGCTGACTTCTATACTTGCGAGAGGAGTCTCTTCCTTCCCCTCATCTCCCAGCTTTGTTTTTGTTGATAGTACCTGACAACCTAACATAGTTATGGTGTAGCCAACCGTTAGTTGACTATAAGCGTTCTACGAGAATCTAGCGATGTTTTCCCGCTTATCTATACTTAACAATAATCAAAGTCGGCGTTATAATAAAAGTAGGAGCTTAAAACCCACTCCAACGCTGCTCTGAATGATCTGCTGGCGGCCTGCACATATGCCAAAGTATCTGCATATATCCTTGGTTAGGCGTAGTGGAGCAGTTAAGAGTCAAGGGTGGTTCAGTTTTCAGTTTTATATAGCCGGGTCCTAGAACAAGGACTGCACATGAGCTCCAAGGCGATAGCCGTCGATTAGCAACCATAGTAGGCTCATAAACCTATCCATGTGGCCCCTCTTATACAAACGCCGAAATCATCATTCTCCACGTGGAGTCCATCTCTCCTGGGCTTACACCAAATAGGACTTAGCCACGCCCCAGAGTGTTACCCGGCGTTAAATCAAACCAGTACATGGCAAGGTGCTCATGCCTCCCCGTATAGTTCCCCAGGTGGCTTGGGGCCTTTAAAAATTGCTGTGATCGTAGTGAGAGCCCACCGCAATCCGGGATTTGACTTTTTAACAATTTCATGGTTAACTTGGCTATGATCTACGATAGCTTGGTATTAGGCTTCATAGCGATCCTCATCCCAGGTGGGTAATTAACGTGAGCCAAATAGGCGAAGCGAAGAGTAAACTATGCCTTACCTTTGCTCATCCCCATAGGCTGCAAAGCAAAATAGGCTCTTTTATCATATGCTTGTGAGGCACAAGGCAGAGCATATTCTTTATGGTCTCGGTAGTAGGTTTAATAGCTTGAAACTTTTACCCACCTTATCCGGGGGCCAAAGGCCCTTCCAGCAGTTAAAGCGATAGAGTACCTCAGGATGTTGAAGATATGGCATTAGAAAGGGGTGTGTGCAGCCTCCATAGGGCTACCAGCCTGCGCTGTCACGTTCGTAGCATTCCATAATTTCTAATAAATATGGAAGATATGATCCATCCTTGCGGAGAAGCTTACTATATTAGTTTCTGAGTGTGACCTTATAAGGTTTCTTCGTCTTGACTTCGTTTACGCCCTACTGATGATGGGTTAAATGCTTCTAGGGCGTCTGTCAATTCAGCTGATATGAAGGTTTATCGAAAAAGCCGGAGATGACTACGGGGTTGACACTGCAGAAGCTGTTCGTCCTCTTTGAGCCCCTAATAACAGTCAGTACTCAACTACCTCTACATATCATGAGCCTTGAGGGGATATTGCGCGTACCGAAAGGAACTCACAGCTCTCTTCTACAACAATCAGTTCTAGGTAGGTAAAGAACACCTCAGCCTCATTTTATTTTATTACTGATTGTATATTAGTTTCTAAAGATCGGAGAATCACAAGTAAGCCCAAGGTACATGAGAGGCCAGCCGTTAGTTGAAGCAGCTCGATCCCGCTCGGTCCCCTCAGCGCTCACAAAACTGGGCCTCTAAAACCTGCGACATGTGAGTGTCCATATCCGGCAGCGAAGGAGCCCCAAATGCTGGATAGGTGGACGGGGTACGGTATAGGTGGCGAAGACATATCAAATAGGATACAGAATGTAGTTACTGTTTTTGAATTAAGACTCGAATGATGCGGAGCTTACCTAAGCGATAAGCGCTAACTCCTGCGTGCTATGTGATGTCTTGGCGACCCACTATCTTAATTAAACTGAGTTACGTAATAAACTCCTTTTTTTTTGGTTCGACTTGCAGCAACAGAAACAACTTGGCAAGTTACATACAAAAGTACGGAGTAGCAAGATCGTATATTTAATCTGGTGACACACCATGGAATTGATGCTAAACCTTTTAAGCAGAGGGCAAATAAAACATAAAACCCAGTGGTAAGAAAAAGAGTCATAGTGGCCACACGGAGAGATGCTCACTGACCACGGCAAATAGAACAGCCACCACATGCCCTTCCGTCCTTTATGTACTTTCTGAAGAAGGAAGTTGGGTATAATATTTCATCAACAGATAGGTTTATGGAGGCGACGGGGCTTCGAGCCTCACATGTTCAGGCCTCGAGAACTAGATATCAAAGATGAAACAGAGTTTCCCGTTTCATATCCCCTCCTCGTTGTCGTCGACATATTATCGATTATAAAGTTCATTAGCGATATCATTCGTGAGGCATATGGAGTGTTTCTCTACTCACGATGACGACGGCCTAGCAGACAAGATCGGAAGAACTACTGCGTACATATTCCGTCGCCTACTATGTATACATGAATGACGGCCCCCACACAAGTACGAGGTATTCTGCGCCCATATAGATATCGTACTCGTTATTTTACCACGAGCATAATTTCTCACATAATACGGAGAACCCTTGACCCTATCCGTGACCACCGCCACTATTAGTAGGCGTTTGTTGAACAAACGCCTCGATGGAGCAGGGCTGCGAACTACCTCCGCCCTAAAAGCTTTTTCCCATCGATCCGCTCTCAAAAAACAGGGCTGGACCAGAGATGACAAGAAAAAGCCTTACGTGCTTATTGGCCTGCAGCAATAAGTTGTATCAGTTTTCACTTCTCACTTCCCCCTCTTCCAATTGCGCCGTCTCAGGCGCATGATAGTCGAACCAAATCAAGTTGAAATCGTCAACAAGGCACTGAAAGGATAGCAAACGAAGCCCGCCATTCATATATTTTGTGGAAGCTGAAGTCGATGTGTATTAAAGTCTATTTGACCCATTCCGAACCCTCGGGTCAGCTTGTTCAAAACTCGACCGACAACCAAGTTCTTGCACATATACGTACGGCACTAAATTATAAAGAATTTGGACGGAAGAAAAATCTTCATGGCCTGTCGAATCCAACAATTCGGACGGACGGTTTCTTTCTTTCTTTTTCTTTCTGTCTCTTAAAATAGAGACGTCACTTCTATAAAAAAAACCTGCTTCACAACAAACGTCTACACAGTAGAATGCAAACGGAGGTCAAGTCGACTACACCCACGCTCTGTCACCCAATTTGGCTCATAGGCGTAGTTGTTGACGATCTTTTATTCCAGTATCTGGAGCGATATCCATTTTCCAGAAAGGTTGCTGGCGT